TGAAAAGTATGTGCATCGATTTTGTGAATGACTTCTTCAATCTGCCTTTTCCACAATGTGTCTTTTTCGAAGCGATCTTCTCCTTCTCACACAAAAACGCTTTTATTTGCTTCGCTGCGCTATGGCTGCACATTTGGGTGGTGGCAGAGTCAACCCTGCGTTGCGCAGTTCTCAACGGCCACGTTGCGCAGTTTCGCCCGATTAGACACGTTCTCTCGCGCGAACATTCACACTCGCATGCTCGAGCCGTCTGTGTCTCCGCCCATACAGCGTGCGTTGAGGATCTCTCAACGTGCCGTTGCGAACTGCGCAACGCAGGGTTGACTCTGGGTGGCGGTAATGCGCCATACGTTCGGACTTCAATTGAAACAGTGATTGTACTTGGGGAGTGGGGAGGGAGTATCAATACAAGAACTTGCCAAAGACAACTAACTAGCTATTTTAGTTTTTTCAAACGATTTTACACATAAATAATTATAGTAGAAATGAAAATTTTGAACCAAGATTTGATTCAGTTCTAACTTCAGGATGGGATTCAACTTCGAAAATATGCAAAAGCAAAGTTTAGCCTCCGTACTATGATAGCTTTGCCATATGTAGAGTGTATGACAGCTATGGTAGACAATCTGAAAGTGACCGGTAAAATGTTCCCACTCAACCGACTGATCAATTTCCTGTCCAGAGTGCTAACCCAGTATACCCCTGTAAAGACAGTTTCGCACGTGAACAGGACGCGCTGCGACTCGTCACCGACCCGTCTGCGTCTCTGCCTTTTTGCCGCGTGATGGGCCTCTTGCCAAGTAACCGGACCCTCGCAATAGCCCATAATGAATTGCCATTAATTTCAGGCTACATTTGTTCATTACCTACGGACAGTGGTTCTGAAAGCCAATCTACAAAGCACTATGGACGATACGTGTATATGCCGGGCCTCTCCAACTGCATAAGGTTTAGCTATTTCGGCAATGGTGGCAATTTTAATAATTTTCTCACATATAATGACTGTAAAGATTTTTGCGTGGATAAACCAAAACCAAAATAAATGTCTTTATAAAAATTTCTTCAATCCTATCGACTGCTAGACCTTGAACGACTAAACGAGCAAAGGGATAATCACAGATGCATAATTTACCCTAAAACAACTAGCGGACGATTTCCGGTGATCCTGCGTGAATCGAAGAGAGTCATGAAAAACTATAAACGTCATCTGAGAGAGATTTGTAACAAATATGAGCCGCGCAGCTGTGGTATAGGTATTCTTTCTCACAATTGTAACACTCTCCGATTCGAAATAAGAGTAGCACTCCCCAATCAAAATTGAACTATTCAGACCGAAAGAAAGCATTTTTAGCACTACCTTCACGCTTAGCTCCCTTTACCCTTCGGAAACCTCAAATTTCAAATTTCAAAAGCATAATTAGGGCTCATTCTTTACAGTATGGGCTAATAATGATGCTTGAGAAGAAAAGGCCCATGATCTTTAGAAGGGATCTTCATACTTTGAACATTATTGATGCTTTTTTTCTTGTGACTGGAACGAAGTGGATAGAGAAGAAGAGAGTACGTGAAATATGAACGTGTATATTAGCTCACCGAACTTGCCACATCGACAAAAATTATGACGAACTGATATCATTAGTCACTCATGACAATAAGAACATACAATCCCGAATCGCAAAAATAGATATTTATGAAAGCTCCAAGAAGAACAACTAACCAATGAAAATAATAAAACTCAACAACGGACCAGATAAGTTTGGCTGCTTAAAAACTGCCAAAATCACGGCTCAAATTTCTGAAGGGTTTCCAGACGTTCTCAAGTTAAGAACTACTCAACGTTTCACCGAGTGCGTCAAGTACTTCCTTCTTGTAGGTATCGAAATCGCCATCAATTTCGGTAACCTCCTGAAATAAATAGCATCTTCTCCAACCACTACTTTTTTCCCAACAACTTGCTAATAATTAAAAAATAACAACAGCAGAACTATATTACATTGATACAGAGACCCTGCAATAGCCGAAATCCAATAAGGTTGTAAAAATGCGGTTCAAAACGGCACTTCACTAGGTACAATGAGACATCTGCAAGTTTCATTTGAGGAGGATCTAGCTTCAACTTTACCTGATTCTCCACAATCCAAAGAGTGCATTCAGTGGCTCGAACCAAACGCTCGTCGTGAGTAACCATCACCACACCCCCTCCAAAGCTCGTGATCGCCGTTGCAAGGGCGTCAATTGACTCGATGTCCAAGTTATTAGTGGGCTCATCCTCAAAAGAACGAATAAGTGAACAAATTCCCTCCAACTGAACAACCGTACATTCGAGACTTTTGAAAAACACCTCACAAGTATCAACATGTCAGGCTCTCCCAGAGCTAACTCTGCAAGGGCAACTCGAGATTTCTGCCCTCCTGATAAATCCTTGATTTTGACAGTGTGAGCATGTCCAGCCAAGCCCACCGTTCCCAAATTCTTTCGTGCGGACTATAAAAACGTGATTGTAGTGATCTAGTTATATTAAGAAGAATAGAAATTGAGAGCTGAATTAACCTGGTAATCAATATTGAATTTTGTACTCAGATATTCAATAGGGGTCTGTTCAATGTTCAAAGCCTCGTTCGCATGCTGATCAAACCATCCTATCTTTACTTGTCGATGCTTTGTGAGTTCTCCTTGTAACTAAAAGCACTTTGCAGTATTAAATGGCAAGAGGTATTGAGACGCGACAAACATACAGGTTTGATTCTTCCGGTTAATAGCTTCAATAGCGTCGACTTTCCTACACCATTCGGGCCGACAATTGCTATTCTGGAGTCCATATCAACACCAAAGTCCACATTTTTAAAAAGAATACTGTCACCGTAGCCAAACGTCACGTCTGAAAACGATTTAACGTTCTCTTATCTACGACTATTTGCCAAGAAACTTACCGTGCAATCCAAGGATAGGAGGCGCCAATTTGTCAGTTTCTGGGAACGAGAACTTGACTTGATACTCTTTGAAACGTTGCAGCAACTCCGGAGGTGGCAGATCACCTGATGAGATATTTAAGTAAATTGAGACAGTGAAAGGTTTCCACATTTCTTAGAACTCGAAAATCAACTATTAGGCGGCGGGAACATTTTGTCACATTTTTTAGGCAAAGCTATACATCGTACAGAAACGTATAACATCAGATACATAAACCGTGGTTGTTGACCACTTGCCAGCCTCCCGACAGCTTATGGATGCCATCCCCCCAAAACACAGGTTCAAGGCAAATGAGTACGTTAGCTAGAATTCGACCTGAGGTTTTTGGCGTCTCTCCTCGAAA